AGGGGATGCAAACTCCCAATACAAAGGCGGTCATCCCAGGATATTGGGAGGGCTGTGAATATGTCACCACGTTGCCACCGACCCCCGAGGGGAAGTTCAAGGCAGAGCGCAATTGCACGGGCCTGATGGAAGTACGTAAGAAGAACCCCCTTTCGTACAAGGTGACTGGCATGAAGGCACACTACGGTCGTGCCGATATCAAGAAGGCCCTCGTCGAGCTCGACAAGACGCTCAGCCTCGGCATTCAGATCGCCTTTGCCTCGTGGTTCCAGCCGTGTGACAAGCGGTACCATTGTGACCCAAAAAACCCAACCGTCGTCGATCACACCGGAACCTTGGTTGCGACTCAGTGTGTGCCCTGCCCAACAGAGAGGGTCTTTGCCACGGTCGATTGCTGCGTCTTTGCGCAAAAGGCCATGGTCTCGATGCAAGGCGAGTGGTACATGCAGGCGACGGAGCCGCTCATCACAGAGGGCGGTCACGCCGTCTCGATTGTCGGCTACAACGATCACTACCGCGATGAACACGGGAGCACAGGTGGATTCATCCTCCGCAACAGCTGGAAGGACGGGCTTGGTACCTCGCACGGCCTCAAGGCGCGAGGGAGTCACACGGCCGCATACTACGCGCAGCTCCTCTCGCCGGCGGACGAGTCGCAGTTTTGTCCCAATCCCAACAGCCCGCGCAACTGGAACGCCTGCGGCGACGTCAAAGCTTGCAAGAGCAAGATGACAGAGATGACCGTTGCGGTGGCGACCGACGGCACCGTCGTCACCCTGAAATGCCAGGACGGCGGCAACGCAATCCCCAAGGTGTGCACCGCGAGCCTCTGGACACACCTGCGTGTCGCTCGCCGGCCCTCGTCACACTTTGCTCACACCCCTCCTGGGCGCAGGGCAACTGCGACCCCAGCAAGGATTACTACCTGGTCAACAAGACGGGCTGGGACCAGCAGGGGCTGTACACCACCTGCTACGTCTACGACAAAGGGAATGAGACCGACGCCTTCATGTGCCTCCCGCCGCTGACGCTCGACGACGTCGCCACCGTCTTTGTGCCCAAGGAGCTCCCACACATCAACGACCCCGAGATGTGCGGCTTCAACTTCATCTCCTACGACACCTTTGAGAAGATCGGAGCCACTCTGGGCATCTCCACCGTCTCAAGTGCCGCGCGCTCACAGCCTCGAGTATGGCCGCCCGCCGCCTGCCCCTCGCCCTCAACGACCATCCGCCACCGCGCACAGGTTTCGACGTGGAGTGGACAAAGTGTTCGTACCTCGTCAATGAGGAGCAATGCCCGAATTACGACTACTCCTATCTGAAGAAGGCCATGATGCCACTCAAGGTGCCCTATGAGAAGCCGACTGTCTGGTACACGCCGAACGAGTGAACGGCACCGAGCAGTTCACGCGTGCGCTGCCACGTTGCCAGTCGTGAGGCCAGGCTTGAGCAGGCGTGTACCGTATTTACGCGAGTGGAGTATTGGGGGCGGGCGTGGCGAGGAGCTGTGATCATGACACGGACGTGGCACGTGTGGCGCTCTCGCGTCTTGTGCACGTCGAATTTGCATCGTCCTTGCAATAGAACATGCCCCATGCAAAGCGAAACGCGCGCGCCGCGCCGAGGAGAGAGGGGGGAAGAGAGCGGAGCGGAAAACAGAAGTGAGAAGAGGAGTAACGACGAGGTGTACACGCGAGAGAAAACTCGATCGGGAAACGAGTGTGTATATTATAACGGTCGCACAAAGTGCGAGTGGTTCATAGAGCTGTCAAACGTTAACTTTGGGCCTAACAGTTGCACTATTGTTGGCTGAAAATCCTCAACGTTGTTCAAGTGTTCTCCCCAGCCCAAGCTGTTACTGTTTGTTACTGTTGTTACTGTTGTTCAGTGGTCAGCAAGCAGAAAATGCCAAAAAACCCGGGTAAAACCCGAAAATACCTGGGTTTTTTCAGGTATTTTCGGGTATTACCCGCACTGGACGCTGGAGATCGTCGTGGGTCACTGCCAGGCCTTCCTTATTGTTGTTCAGCTGGCCTAACGTTAGCTACTGTTGTTGGGGAGCCCCACTGTTGTTCTGTTGTTACTGTTAACACTAGCAACACTGTTCAGCTCTTAAAACGTTTGTGACAGCTCTACTGGTTCACAAATTCTCTATTCGCAATTCGCTTTCGGGGATGACCGATCGTGGATAGTGGGAGCAGGGAGGCACCACACCGACCACGTGATGTTTGTGTGTCGACTGTGTGCATCACATTAGACTCTAAAGGCACACATACACACTCACACTCAACGCGCACACATATTTTTTGCACATCGTACATGTCAATCACTCTGCTGCATTGATCTGGTTCCTCTCAATAACTCATTTGTGCATATCGGATTCCCCCAACACGCCAATCGGATGAGCGCCCGCCGAACCAACGGCCGGATGAAGCGAGTGCACTCCCGGCTTCATCGTGAGACCCTCCAGCGCCAATGCCTGCAACGCACTCGAAAAGGCCGCCGCCGCGCCCGACGCGCTCTCAGCGGTGGGGTGTGCGTCGCCGTTCTGCGCAGTCCCGCCCGCTCGCTCATGATCGCGCTGCGCGGCCGACGGCGCGCCGCCGGCATCGCCGAGGTGCAGCGCGAGCCAGCGTGGCAAATGCTGCGGCAGCGCCCGCCGCGGCTCGGGCCTCCAGGCTGAGACAAAGCGCGACACGTGGCTGGGCGGCAAGTGCGGTACGTCGCCGCCGTCGCGGGCGAACCGCGAGTACTCGGCGGCCGCGGCGGTTGCGGCCCAGCGCTGCAGCTTGCGCAGGCACAGCACGACGGTGCCGGTGACGCAGACGCCGTCGAGGCAGTGGAGGTAGACGGGCCCTGCATCGAGCGCTACCAGACGAGACAGGAGCGCGTTCACCTTCTCGTGTGAGAGGACCACCTCCTCACGGAAGGGCGCCACCACCTCGGCGTGCAGCGCGATCCCCTCCTCCTCACACCACCGCACCAGGTCTGCGCTCGGCGGCTCGGGAAGCAGCGAGATGACTGTTTTGAGCCGCAGCCGCGCGAGAAAGCGCAGGTTGATGAGCGAAGGGTAGGCGCCGCGGTAGATGCCCTCCTCAACCATGGCGAAGCGCAACGGCGGCACCAGTGGCGGCGGCATTGGCCAGAGCAACACTGCTGCGCTGTCCAGCAAACC